TCTTTTGAAAGAGCTTTTAAATAAGCTTAAGGTTTGTTTCTGAGTCATTATAGTTCCTGTAAATACATTCACTTATTCTTATGAATAAGTTACGCCAAGAGGAAGGCCTTTAGCTGACAGATTTGTACCTTATCCACTGGTTTGGACCACGCACTTCAAAGGGTGGCTCGTTGAAGTAGATGTGGTTACCTAGTTCTTCCACTGGTGGCTCTGGGTCAGTGGTAGCAAACTGAGCAGCCTCCTCAATCTCCTTTCTTACTGCCACATCAATTTCCTAAATAAAAAATGGATGCTTATCATAAAACAGCTCAGAAAAAGCAGCACATTTTTTAATTCAAACACAAGGATGAAGTCCACAAAATACTGTGTTGATTTTTTTAAACAGAATTGATGAAAGTATTTACACTACTTGCTTAGAGGGTTCCTGCATCCTTCACTAGAATTTTTCACTATTGATAATTTCCCTTTGAGAGACTTACCCCTTCCTAGGTAGTTAAAAAAGCCTGGGTAATTTTGATTTCTACAGGTTAGTATATGACAAGAGCTGGTTTTGAAATCCTAACACCCATACACACAGCCTTGTACCCCAAAGCAAAATGCCCTTCCCGCAGACTGCAACTTCATTAGTCAGTCTGCAACAAAATTTCAGCAGTAAAAGGGATGTTAATAAAGCACTTAAAAGAACAAGTGATGCACTCTGCCCTATGATGTACTTTTCAGAGATCATTAGAGTGTGAATGCTCAAGAGCTTGCCCAACTAGCAATTAAAAGCCATACCTTTAATTCCTCAATGCTAGCAAGGTTATTGTTGACCATTCTGTCCTTCAACAGAGTAATGGGATCACTTTTGCTTCTCACTTCTTGAATTTCTTCTCTAGTACGATAGCTAGGACAAGACAAGGAAAGACATTAACTTCTACAGTGGTATCCTTGAATAGAGGTTAGATTCTGGACACAGCTGACTTGTAGAAAAAGGTGTGACCAAAGAATGGTCAGGAATGTAATTAACAATACATCAACACTGATCACTCAAAGGGTGGCACAGCTACATCTAGAGCACTTTGATCTGTAAGCAGTAAATGAGCTGAAGTAGCTCCACACTTCACTATAAAGTAGGCTGGGAAAGGGGAACAATCCTAGCCTAAGACAGTTACCAGGAGGGGCTGTATTTCCTCCTTCTCATCTCCCCTAAGCGGGGGAAGGGGGGCTGGATAACTTGCTGTGTGCTTCCAAAATTCACTACAGGTTTTGAACAAGGCATTGGGATTCACCTCTATTTCACAGAGGTCAATTCAGATCTGCCAGCCAGTACAATGCCTGAGTCCTTCTGGCACTTCTGTTTTTAAGAAGTTTCCATTTGACTGGACAGTCTAAACTGTTCCTATAATTTCAGCTTACAAGATTTAAATACTCTAAAAACCCTGTAAAAGTGTGCTGCTTTTCAGTCACAGCTTAGTTAGAAAGCACCATCAAGTCACACTGAAAGCAGTATCTATAACAGAAAGTACAGAAGTTTACCAACTGACTTTGTGCTTGTTCTAAAACTAAATCTCTTGATACTGCAAGTAAAAGTTAGTTCAAGTATGTTACATGGCCATGGATTATCAAACTGAGTACTGAGCAGAGTGATCAGACTGCTCATAGTAATTTCATCATAACCTTTATAACCTGCCTGGATGCATTCCTGTGTGGCCTGCCTGGGGTGATTCTGCTCTAGCACAGAGTGGGACTAGATGATCTCTAGAGGTCCCTTCCAAGCCCTATCATTCTATGATTCTATGATATGCACCTCACAGTAGATTTAATCATTGAATCGGAGAGTTTCAGGATTTTGGCCACCAATAATTATCTATAGTTTTCAGTGAATGCCAAGAAAGAACATCACAGTACCTTATTCCAGGGTCACTCATACTGTGGCCATGATAACGGTATGTTTGTAACTCCATCACAATAGGACCCTTAGAAAGAAAAAAAAAGAGTTTACCACCTGGTTTGTTCTTACAGCAACAAGTACTTGCTCTAGGTGAATTTCAGTAGTCATAAGTTACTCCCATTCCATGTTTTTTCTCAGTTTAATTTAGGTAACATTATCACAACTAGTAAAGTGGAACTTAACTCTTTTCAAGTGAACACCTATGCTGAAATTTTAAGCATTTATTTTCATGTTCTTATCGAGCAGCATTAAACAATTTTTTCTTTCCAATGTCATTCTACCCTTAATCAGACTATTTCAAATGGCCTATTGTTTCACTGTAAGATTGTTGACTCAGAAAACGTTATTCTTCTGTGTGAACCCTTTTCTTTTTTTGTTGTGTGCTCCCAACACAAATATTATTTCACTATATACTAATAATCTTCAAAACCAGTGTATCATACTTGGCTGACAGACACTAAAACTAACAGAACTTTGACTTCATTTTCCATTTGTTGTAAATACAAAATTACTACTTTCCTTGATGCTTCCACTAATTAATTGCTTCACAAAGAACACAACTGCCTGGCAGTCAGAACACCTTTCACAACAGAGTTTAACTGGGGTAGAAACTGGGGAAAAAGATGACAGAGTATACTTAGTTTATCAATTGCATGTTAATAATTTCTAAAAAAATAAAATTAAAGAACCCCTCAATTATTTACTAATTCAATACTGTGGCAAAAAAAAAAAAAAAAAAGGAAATAAAGGTAAAACAGAATTTCAACAGTGACTGGAGAAAATGGGCTAGATGAGGAGCATTTTATGCAGCAATTTGGCTAAGAATTCCACCAATGGAAAAAGAATGCTGATTAAAGACTTACTTTTCCAGATCTACAATACTCAGTTGCAAACTTTGCTGCTTCTCGAACGCACAGAACATCCATGCCATCCACCTGATAAACAGAAACTACAAGTTGAGGCAAAAAAACACCAAACCTTGAACTTTAAATTTCAGTACTTCCACAAGTGCAATAAGAATTAAGTTTCAAGTTTTGCTATACTTAAAACAATATTTATAAATATATGTATAAATAAAAGAAAAATATACATATGTAAGTATTGTGCAGGCATGTGCACCCACACCCCTCCTACACTTCTACCTCCCCCCCACAATAAAAGCTGGGGTTGTCCTCACCCTGAGCCCTGGAATGAAGTCTCCCCTTTTGTAATAGTCTGTGCTGGCTGCAGCTCTTTCAACTGAAGTTCCCATTCCATACCGATTGTTCTCACAGATAAAAATACAAGGCAACTTCCATAAGGCAGCCATATTGTACGTTTCAAATATCTGGCCCTGAAAGAAAAAAGAGCAAGTTACACCTAGACAGGGAGTTCACCTTCAAGCATTAGGCTCTACTGACAAGCATTTAGTTGCAGAGGTCTAGCTAGAAGAAATTTTAATACTGAAAGTGATTTGACACCAGCCACTTGCTACAGCTAAGCAGGAAGAGAAGAGAACCTACACAACTTAAGGTAACTTTCACCTCAACAAATAATTTCTAGAACTTAATTTTTAAACCTAGTTCAGTATCTCTGTTAGGGTAGCACCAAACATTCAACTTTAATGGAAGTATTTCAGCTACGGTCATTAAAAAGTTCACAATTGACTAATCTTACAGGATGCTGCTACAACAAACTAAAAGAAAGGTTGAACCACAGTGACTGCATCAGCCTTACTTCTCTAAGTCAGGCAGGGAAAATGCAAGAACCGAGATCTCCACCTGTGTTTTCAAAGTGGTAAATTACATTACACTCTAAACCACCAGTTTCTTAATTGGCTTCATGTCTTTGCTCATAAGATGAAGAAACCAGCCGGAATGTCAACAGTAAGTGGCTCTGCGAGATGCTCTGTCCCTTCCTCTGTCTTCAGAAATATAAGTGACGCGTTTCTCCCTATGCAGCAGCAATGTCATCTTCACTGCTTTCATTCAGAGCTCTGCTTACAGCACAGAGACTTCAGGGTGTCACACTTAGTTGAGCCATGTGCAACTGGAAAGAGGATAACAGTAACTAAGGAACCACTCCACCACTCCACTACTCAGGTAGTATTCATGTAATTTACTTATCAGCCTGACTTGTTCCCTATCTAGTGCTACAGAAGGGAAGGAGCTGAGAAGCTTTCCCTCCACTCGAGACAAAGGCAGAGTTCAAAATGAGGGTGGGAAAGGACAGATGTTTACACAGGTTTAAAACATGATAGAAAAATCCAAGCACATGCTACACTCCTGATACATAAAGAGCATCTAGCAATTAACTCTTCATCTGAATCACTCCTTGGAGAACTATACAGTACTTGAAACACACTCCTACTCAAATGTCTAAGATGCCACAAATAAGAGGTGCTAGTACCAAAAATCTGCAAATTGCCCAACCACCAACATGAAGTTTGTCTCAGTGGGGAGCACTTCACATGAAAATCCCTAGGAAAAACTGCAGTAAACTGTAGGACAGAGGCTGTACATTGTCTTCTCTCTCTCTTTTCAGTACCCGTGTACTCCTTTAATAAAGCATCCTTGCAGCAGAAAGCCCAACACAACAATCTTAGTGCAAGCTCTAAGTCAGACACTGCCTGTTGTGTAGGTACTACACAGGCAGGGTGAAAAGTGCTCTCCCATCACCCTTCAGAAAGGCAGAGTTCACAGTTCACAGAAGGAAAATTGATTACCCCCAGTCACACTTCCCCTCACAGAGCCACCCAAGACAAAGTTTGTTTACCTGATTGGCGGCACCATCCCCATATAAGGTCAAACAGACTTCGTTTTTACCGAAGTATTTACAGGCCAGTGCAATCCCAGCTCCAAGAGGAACCTATCACAGAGTACAGAACAAACCAGGATTTTAGAGCAATGTTTAGGGGAGCTGGAGACAGGCAGTTTATGGACAGCAAAAAGACATTTATAACGTCAGAGATCTACTCAAGAAACAAGCTGTCACCAACCCAGTACATTTGTTCCAATCTGTATTACAACCAAATATAAACATTAATTATATGCTCAATTTGATTCATTTTTGCCCCAGTGTACAAAATGATGAGCAAAGCAGAATAAAGACATAACAGATTTAATAGCCACAGAGCAATGGTATCTGCATACAAGCTCACACAACAAAACCTGAAACACTGGCACAGGACATAAGCCAAATTCAACTGTGCTTTAAAGCTGAAGTCATGTATGTACCTGAGCACCAACAATACCATTGCCACCATAGAAGTTTTTGGTATACATATGCATCGATCCTCCTTTTCCCTTTGCACATCCTCCTTTTCGACCTGAAACATGAGTAACAAGCAATTTATTTTTTTGGAGAAAAAAATGGAGAAAAATGGGAACATATAATCAGTTCCTATAGACAGTAACACTAAGACCATGTTGTCATTAGATCAATGTGGAGTTAAGACAAAATGGACTCCCCCCAAAGAGTTTACAGTAAAATACATCACAAAACAAATAAGGGGGAAAAAAAGAGAAGGATAATGAAAACATAATTCAGAACATGTGGAATGAAATTAAGAAGAAATTTTAAAACCAACCAAAAAGTTTCAGTGGCCTACTATACAAAAGCACTTCCTGATAAATATATGCTGGGTTTTTTTAATAGCCAACATGGTCTATATTTCTCATATATGTAATTTGTAAGAAGTAGTATTTACAGTCTTTATTACTTTTGGCTTTTGCAAGAAAGATATGAACACTGTTTAAAATCAGTAGCAATAATCTACACTTGTCTTCCCTGTGACAGTAACTGGAAGTAAACATTACAGATAATACAGTTAAAAAAACCCAACAAAACAAACAAAAATCCCCCAAATCCCAACCAACAATTCCCTGCCCCAAGATAAAGATCAGGAAGTCACCTAGCCCAGCTTTATTTACGCTGTGATTTGAAGAACAGTGGTGGTCCATGAAGCATTACAACAAACCCTATTAAATGAGCTGATCTAACAATACAGAATTCCTCATCAGCCCACTACATTTGTTATTGTTATCTCTACAGTTAATAGCCACAGAGGCTTCTATTTTATTTCTAAAAAGCACATTTTGGTTGGTTCTTTTTGCCTCAGCCTTGGTGTTTATTTTAGAATGTTACGGCTGGATCTCTTTCTGGAATTTGTACTTCTTTTTCTCATAATAATGAGTAATTTTTATAATTTGTCTTTCTCGTACCTTTCGTATGCTTATGAATTGGTTTCATGTGAGCTTTTATGGATTCTGCCAGCTAGAGCCAAAGAAAAAAAAAAAAAAAAAAAAAAAAAAAAAAAAAGGAAAAAAGAGGATTTTCTAATTTTAATCAGAAAACTATTCTTCTTAAGTGTAACTAAACTTCAGTCATCTCTGTCCACTTCCTGTACAATTCTTTCTTGTATTTTAGCTAAGAATTCCTGATTTGCTGATGTCAGTTTTTGCTATACTTTCCACTTTGCTTAGAACACAAAATCATTTGTCAGGGTGTCCCTTTCTGTAGTGTGTTTCCTATAGGATCTTATCTACTAGCTTTATTTTGGGTGATTCTGCTTCCTGCTCCTTGAAAGACTTTAACTGTGTCCTTTCCTAGTCACTGTAACTCCGGCTGTCTTTCAGCTCAGCACTTTCAATCCAGATCTTTGTTTGCAATAATGTCCTCCAGCAGCACTCCTCTCTAAAACCCTGCCCCCAGCGTCTTTTCTTGGAACAACAGCCTCTGCACTGCAGCTGCACTTACCCAATTAAAAGAACCTCACTAAACCCAAGCATGATGATATGTGTCATGGAAAGAAAAAATAAAACCCCCACATCATCACTGATATTTGCAGTTTCAGGGCCCATAGCAGACTTCAGTCATAACAATCTCTTCATTTACCTTCTCTCTTACCAGTGTCCAGCGACATGTGGGAAATTGATACTCCACTGGATTCTGGGCTTCTGTTTGCATTATTAATATGAATTATTCTTAACACACGTATACATTTTCAGCATAACCAATGTGCTTTCCTATATTACTGTCCCAAACATGCAAATTCTGAGATAAAGACTTTATTATATCAATGATTAATAAAGGCCTTTAAACTCCTTGTTCTTTTTTAACTTCTAGCATCCATTCACAGACCTCTAGAGTTCAGCAGGCAGCCCCACTCCTCTCTTCCCTGCTCTTCCCCGTTTTAAATAACATCTCTCCTTTCTGCAAACTCTTACATCTGTCTAGATTACCATTTAACATAATTGTTGCAGTCAAATTTCCCCAAACCACTCAGTTCATCATTACAGGCTGTGTTTACCAGTCTTCCTAAGACTTCAGCAGCATAATTCTGAAAATGTTTGTCTCCTAGGGAGGGTAATATCCTGTCCTATTGAGAACAAATGCCTACCACCAGCAAGTACAGCAGCCTGTGAATCCTCATTTTACTCAGCACCAACCTGTCAGTTCAGCCAGAATTTCTCGGACAGGTACTCCACGTGCGTAGGTAAAGCCATGAGCTCTATAAGCTGTTATGACGTGATCTGTAGGCTTTATGGCAGCTTCAAGCCCTACACAGCAAGCCTCCTGTTACAAAGGAATGAAGAAAAGTACACTGTTTTCACAGCCAGTAGTGTGGCAAGGGCTAGCTATGGTTCGAAATACATCAAGTAACAGCAGAAAATTGGAAGAATGCAAGATACAGAACACTGCCTTAAATCCCAAGGTGAGCAGACCTGCTGTTTGCAGGACACTGAGCTACAGTGCCTTGGGCTCTAAATTCCAATCTGTCCTGATTTCAATCAACAAACGCAGACAGGAGGGGAACCAGAAGATGCAGAGATCTGTGGCCTTTTTCTACATCCATCTCCCAAATGAAGCATCTAAGTAAATGGCAATTTGAAAATGGCACCAGGACAGATGGCAAAATTTCACCAAGCTCATGAAATTCTGTATCTTGGCTGTTGCTTTTAGTGGGTGCGTGACTGAGACACCAGAACAAAAACCAGGAATGAAGCTTGAGGAGGAGGAGGATGTGGGCCTCCAAATGTGTTGAATTTAATATGCTGCAGTCATTCATTCCTCACATTCAGCTGATCTTCAACTGTACCCTGCCTTCTCTCTCTTCCTATTGTCCCAAAATCTTTGGGATTTTCTTGAGTGCTAAGACATTCTTTTTTAAAGAAACAATGAATGAAATAATTGGTCCAGCTACAACTTCAGACACCATACCAAGATACTCAGTTCTAGATTTACTTTCCACTCTATTCAAGTCCCTACATTCAGTAAGGTAAGACATTATAAAGCCTTTTGGGAAGGAAATCCTTACTTGGCCATCGTATAAGTGGCAGAAGCCACGAATAATCTTCTGCTTGTACAGCTGGTCAGACTTGAGCTCCATGCGTCGGATGGTCTGCATTGTCTTGTAGTAATGGAGACCCTCCTCTCGAGTCATCACTGCTGTGGTACTAGGGCCTTCTTCTAGGCGATGAAGGTCACACTTCTGCAAAGTTCAACAAGCAGTAATTTATTGAATGTTGTTAATCCTATTTATGAATATCATGTAATATTTTTATGAGGTGCCACTTTCAAATTCAGGTTTACTATGTCTTTCAATAGGAAGCCAGCAAAACCTAAATTCATAGCTCAAAATAGCTGTAAAGTTTGTGGTCTCTTTCCAAATTCAGGCAAACAAAACCTTTACTTTCAATAAAGACAGATTTCCACTCATAAAATGAAGCCTGGTAGTTCCTACTAGCTGTAGACAAACTAGAGTGCTCTAAAATACTAGAAAAGCACACTTCCATAGTTGCTGCATGCCAAATGCTTGGTAAGAGCTTCAGAGACTTAGTGAAGAGACTGTTTGTAAGATCTGGTCCTGAGACTGGACTTCACGTCTTCTACCACTGTTTTTATCAAGCAATAAATAAACCCCTGCAGCACCAGCCACTCTGCCAGTCAAACCTCCATGTGTACAGTACCACTTACCCCCCAAACCGTGGACTCAAGGGAGTTGCACAGAGGGACCATTTTAGATACCCATACAAAAATAAAAATGATAAAATTAAAAAATAGTCAAGTTCAGTGGGCCAGATGAAAAGAATTACTCTGCCAGTGCAGATTAAATGACCAAAATACTAATACACAGGTCAAAGACAGTTTATACGAAAAGCAGAGTTTATATCAAGCAAAATGTTCAGCGCAAATCCACTGACACCTAGATGAATTTGATATAACACATATGCATGCTACTCTTAAAGACAGCTCTGCTTCAGCATTCACATGAAAATAGAAACTCAGAAGTCTTGTAAACACAGACCAAATACTAAACCTGGCCAGCACAAAAGCTACTGCCAGTGGATCCATTATTTTTTCCTAACATTTAGCCACTGTGGAAAGCTGACAGAACAAAATGCACATTTTTTGAGCAGCACCAAGTCAAGCATTAAAAAGGATGTCGAAGTTTTTCCTCCAAAATTCATATGGACCTCAATCAGCTGCACATCTGGGATACAGCACCCAGGACTCCGTAAATAAAAAGGAGATGGAAAGAAGGGTAAGCAGTAAACATCAGCTATTTGTTTTAGAAGCATTAAGGAAAGATGAATATTCTTCCCCTCAGAACAGAAACGGTGCTTTAGCTCCTTTGTGACTCCACTTTCACAGCTGCATTGCAGTATCACAGCTGTAAAGAATCACAACTTCACATTCTTAAGAAACAAGTAAGGTTCCTACACATTGCCAAGCACAGGACTTCCAACTGCATTTAAAAATGAAGCCAGACAGTGAGGGTTTGGTTCTGTAATTCACACAGTATGTTTCTGATTGAAAAGGCAGCAAGTCCATCATATCAAGATCTACAAAGACTTAGACAGAATGCCATGTTCATGTTCAGCTTCTTTACCTTAACTTCAAACGTAGCTTCACTTGCAAAGTCTGCATAGTTACGTGACGCTACCATCACTCGAGATGTCTTAGAAAAAAAAAAGACAAAATCAAAATAAGCAACATTTCAATATAATTATCAAGCAAAAGTAGGTGAATTCTCAATTTCTAACAATACTTGAAAGTTGAAATAATTTGTGAATTAAACCCACTAGTGGCATATCCTTATAATACTAGAGAACTTTTTGTTTTATACACATACGCTAGAAGTCCTTTAAAACCCAGCATTTAAAATTAATTTTACATCTGTATATATCCTTGATTATCTAAAATAAACCCAGTAGTTTTCAGAAGACTGTGAAGACCATCAAAACCACAAAAATAATTATTTTTCCCTTCACATGGCAGAATCACCCGTATGAGACAAGACAGCGAATGCAGATTTTGATGGCTCTTTGCTAACTGAAAATTTGCCTTGATAGAACAGAAAATTTATTTCAGACAAAGAAAAAAAAAAAAGCCAGTCAAACCCAGCATATTTCCAGAATATTAACTATTCTTACTCTTTCTTTTCAATAGTAATAGAAGTTGGGGGGATGCAAGGCAATAATAATGAGGAAAGAGATTATAAATTAATTGGGTTCCAGCATGGCCACTACTTAAAATAATACATAAAAATAAAGGGTGACATGCCTGAGGACACATGAAACACAGAACAGAAAGGGTGGCATGGTAGAGGAGAGATAAGAAAGATGTTAAAAAATACATTACTGTTCTGTCTTAAAAGAATAAGCAGACTACTGACTAATTAATATCTCGTATTATTAGGTCACTTTAGTAAGTTTCACCACAGCAGCAGAGTTGATGCTCATCTGTCCCTGCGTGCACTGTGGCCATAGCATAAGGAAAGCACAACATATTATTGCCAAAATCATATCAATAATTAAGTTAAAAATAAATTTCAGTAGCTCATTCAACCATGGGTATCACATTAATTTAGCTGAAGTCTCATTATTTCAAGATCTTGAGAATAACCAGGTCAGGAAAAAGTCAGGTAAAAATTTTCAATCCATCTTGGTTACCTACTTTGTTGTATATTTGATTTAGATATCCCTATCCACTCCTCCCCTTGCCCCATTATTAGTTTTTAATTTAAACCAAGTTTCTACACTGTTTACCACAATGCAGCAGTATAATCAGTGAGAAAAAGGAATTTTGCTTCCAGAGGTGGAAGTAAATCAAGACTTTGGGATTTGCAGTGTTCCAGAATGGCTGAGGCTGGAAGGGACCTCTGTAGGCCATCTGGTCCACCCACCCTACCCTGAATACCATATAAAAGCAACACCAAGGAGTCTGAATATAAGTTACAGTACCTGGCCAGTACACATATCAGAAAAAAACCTTGACAAGACTGATTCAGGCCTTACCTCACTAACAGCTCCCTATGTTAGCAGCATTTGGAAGGGGAAAAAAAAAAAAAAGGACAAAAAAAAAAAAAAAGAGTAAGTAACTATAACAATTAAAGGATGAGAAGTCAGCAAATTATTAGCCAACTAGAACACTGTAAGAGGTAGTGTCCTTACACGTAAGCTCTATGTCATGGAAATCCATCTTTATGCTTTGCAACGTGCTCAAAGCATATATAAAATACAGCTTCATGGATTAAGGCTGTTTATATTTTTGTTAATTTATACCTTCACTTTAAAGGCACAGGAAAAATTCAAGACCAATATTTATATATTTGGTAATCACTAGGATCCAAACATCTCTGTTAAGGTATCCAAACCAAGCCTACTTTGGAATTCCAAAGAAAAGCAGCATGTCAGGAGCAGGCCAAGTAGTTGTAGTAAGGGACTAATTTTAGGCACCCATGTCTGAAAGTTTTAATATGGATATTTTACTTGTAAATTAGGAAATACTTTTGGATACACAGTCCCAACACGTATACAGGAAGATCTTCTAGTAAAACTGCTCTCTCGTGTCATACTCATTAACCCAGTCACACCCCTGCTTCTTCTACAAGTGAATGCTGAGGTGAGCGAGCTACTTCAGAGGAGGGGAACAGTAACAGGTTTGCTCTAGATGGCAGACAGGCAGCTGACTTACAGTGACCAAAAAAGTACCCTCTAACACTGACTTATCTTGCCAACAATGCTTTTCAGCAGGGGTAATTTTTCCTTGTGGCCAGTCATTAGAATGGAATAAGGAGGACGAAGGGGTGAAAGTAAGTTTTGAAGATTTTTCACACTGAAGAGATAAACCGCAACAAATGACACATTAATGCAAAAAAAAATTAAATTAATTAAAAAATACTTTAAAAATAAAAGAAAATTCAGGAAAATATGAGAAAAGGCTGTTGATTGAACAAAAAAAAAAGGTGCAACAGCTGAAAAAGTCAGGTGGCTGAATTCCGGACGGAACCAGAGGAGGATGTTTACCTCGTTTAGGATCTGACCCGTGGTGACAACCAGCACACACATAAATAAAATAAACCAAAGGGCCCAGAACAGGCTTTCAGAAACGAACGGCGTTTAGAAAGCGAGGAGCACATGCCCGCAGCCAACATGCGCTTATTTCAGGCGGTGTTTTTTCACACCAAACCAAAAAACATCCCCCTACTCCGGCAGTTTCCCGTTGCTATCACGA